TTTTGCTCCACCGTTGCTCTCCTTCGCAAATCGATCTAGTTAAAATTACTGGATGCGCGTCAGTGTTTACACGGAATATGATAAGACTGGGCAATCTAACTTCCCTCGGCGGATCGCGCCGAGAGTTGATAAAATGAATGAACTCTTAATAAGGCTTTTACTTAGGCGGTCGCGTGCGAGTTGTAACGATCCATCACTGTGCTCTCGTGGGCACCGCGCTGGCGGCGAGTGGCACCCGTGTGGCAGGGGGGGAGCGGTGGGGGGGGGCGGCGGGCTTTGGGGCTGCCGGTCCCTGCCGTCATTTGGTGGCGCGGTGGCTCGTACGTGTACGAGAAACCCGCCGTCCTCCTCACGGAGCCATCCCCGCCGTAGGGATGCTCCACGTGGGCTTGTGCCGTGGGGATGCCCTGCATCCATCCATGCCGTGGGGATGCCCCGCATCCAGCTGTGCCCTGGGGATGGCCACATCTGTATGTGCCGTGGGGGTGGCCCCTGTCCCTCAGTGCCATGAGGATGCCTCGTGTCCACCTGTGCTGTGGGTTTTCCCCTCGTCCGTCCTTGCCGTGGGGACGCCCCACATCCATCCGCACTGTGGGATTGCTCCGCGTCCAGCTGTGCTGTCGGATTGCCCAACGTCCATCTGTGCCGTGGAGATGCCTCACCCAATTTTTTTACTGCCACCAAACGCTAGGGGACAAGCCCTTCCTCTGCCTGCTGCCGGTCCACGTGTCCTGGGCGTGAGCATTGTCCCCCCTGCTGGGGTTACTGGGAGGACCCCATGGGGACCACGTGCTTGGTTCGGGAGGATGGCGGCTGACACCACCAGCAGACGAAGAACCCAGGTGATGGGGTGCTCTTCACACCTCCAATTTGGTTTCTTTAATCATCTAAGGAAGATGACCCACCGCTCCGCTGAAGAACAGGAGCTAACGAGATGCAGGAATGAGCTTGTTTCAAATCACCGAACTCCCCCCAGAGAAAGAGGCAGAGAAAAACACCCCTTGTTTACAACAGCAGGGACTGCTCCTCGGCCTGTCTGATAGACGATCGCTAATACCTCTCGGGATACTCGCGGCCCAAATCTGTATTCCAGGATGTTGTCACACCGAATACAACATGCAGATGGAGCGGGCGCCGTGCATACTAATAACGCCGCCTCACCGCATTGATATTCGCCGGCGGTGAAGGATCCTTTGTGGGTTTTTGGTTTTTTCTTTTAATAATACTCTTTTATTAGAAGGAAGCTAAAGGCATTTAAAGAAACAAATGACAGCGACAGAGGCTAAATATCAAAACTCCACCTTTTACAACTCCCTCGCTGCGTGTCTCCTGGCCGCGAGGCAACTGGTCCTGCCGCCCCGCTTGGCACCCTGGGGCTGAAGGGACGATGCGGTGGCGCCGCAGCCCCTTTTTTGATAGAAAACCTTTAATATAAAGCATTCAGTCCTGCCCATCTGGCCCACCAGGTACCCACGAGCGGATGAAGCGGCTCTCCGGGTGCATGGATGTTCTTGGAGATGCTGAGTCCTGTTCTACGTCTTGGTTTGATTTCCTGGGGCCGACGATGCTCATCGCCTTCCCCGGCCCTCGCCTCACCCCTGCTGCAAAACGCTCGTGGACAAAGTGCCGGGAGGTTGGCTGCAGGAGGGTTTCTGGCCGGGGAGAAAGTTGTGCTGCTGGTGTGAGCGTGGGAGGGGAACGCATCTGGACACCAGGACTGCCGCCGATGGAGCGGGGAGAGGCTTTTGGCTGAGAGTGGGGCGGTGTTCGCACAGCGCAGGGAATGTGACGGCCCATCCTGACCTATTAAAATTTGCGGGATGCTTTCCGAACCCTCGTTACACCCTGCTGACGGCGTAGCCCAGAGCTCGCCCGCTCTTTTTGGCTGGAAAACAGGGAAAATGGGAGCCGCGCTGTGAGTCGAGGGCTGCCCTGGTGCTCCG